GAAAAACATACAAATTTACCAATTAAGGAACCGTTTCAGGGATTGTTGGAAGGTGAGTTATTCTATAGTAACTATGCTTCAGTTGCCGTGCAGTACGCCCGGAAACAATCCACTTCAACTTCTGAACATTTGGCTTGGAACACTTGTTTGACGAATATTCAGTTAAACACTTGGATACAAGCTCTTGCCAGAAGGTCAGATCTCTGCCATTTATCTATATATAAATTTATAAATGTTAGTAAAAAAATTAAAAGTTCTACTGTATTTAACTATAGTAATAAATACAATCGTATCATGTTAAAAATGTTTATAATTTTAAAAGTTATTAGTACATGTTTGCAGTACATAATTTGGTGAGGGGAGTTGGTACATGTACATAACACATCTTTAATGTGTTTTTTCCTCTTCAAGAAAAAACTGAGGCAAGCTACTTAAATTTCATAAAAACACATGACAACTCAGTTTACTTCAGGAGAGAGCGCAAGGGGTTAAGTTTCTTTAGCAGTTGTTAACAGGATTTAGGGTGACCTTGACATACCTTGGAATGTTTCTGAAGACATTCTACTCCTTCTGTTAACTCCACACACTTCTGTGCTTGGATCTCCAATGCAATGATAGATAAGGCCAACACAGAAGGCTAGAAGAGATAAATATAAAGTAAATGTCAAATATAAAAATAGGCCTATATAAAAACCTTTGATCTTTATAAAATACTTACCTTTGCTTTAGAAAATATGATCCTGCAGTGACATGCCTTAAGCTGAGCTTCTAGTCTTTCAAAATTGAGGCTGTTTTTCCTTTAGAAATAAAATGAGATTGATTTTATGTAGATTACATCTACTTGGGAGATACTTTTAGAAAAATACTGGTCAGTTTTTAAAATAAAGCTTCTGCACATTTTCTATAAAAGAAAGTCATCTGAAATAAATTCCCTTCCATCAGAGATACTAATTTCTTGAAGGTACCAGACATGAGTTTTGATAGAATTTTAAGAGAATATGGGTCGATTTTAGGAAATATACAGATAGTATTCTAATTTTCAAACTTATTGTGATCAAAACAAAGATCACATACCTTTCAAAGGGCAAGTTCTCTTGAATGAGTGAATAATAGAGCTGTAGAAACTGAAAGGCAGTGGTAGCTTTGACTTTCCAACACACCTTCTCCAACACAATCTTTTCCATTCTCATCAGATCTGAAACCGTGAACCTGTACTGACTTATCCGGATCAAGTCAGTTGCCAGTGGGACATTCCTTTCTTCTTCTATTGATTTTACAGCCAAATAGAAGCAGCTCAGTCCAACACACCCAAGGTGCTTGGGCTGTACCTAAAATCAAAGCCAAAAACAGTGAAGACTGTGTCTCTACTTTGTTTCAATAAGTAAAATATAAAGGATAACCTAGAAGTAAAACCCACTATTGTGAAAATGTATCCTTGGGATCTATTTCTTAGGTCTGATGGATTTAACAACATTCACCCATGCCTAAACAACTGCAGCTTGTTATTACATGCCCCACTTGGTACCGTTTGGTTTCAGCATAAAAATTTACTGATTTTTAATCACAGTGGAACTATAAGCAAAAACTTTCTCTAATTCATCCAAGTAAGTTAACTGACTGGTCAGCACTTTAACACCAAAAACGCAGCACATTATGGCTTACTCACAAAGGGTCTTTCCAGGATAGTGTGTGTTTTTCCAGGCTGTTTTCTTTGTAGTAACACATATAAAACAGTTTTAAAAGAATGTAACACCTTCTCTTTACTCTGCCTTAAAGTTCTATCCTCTATCACTTTCTCCCTTATTTTCTGAATGTCCACAGGAAGAAGCACATTTACAGCTCTCTCCAGTCTTTATGTTCCAGCTCAAATGAAACTTCAAGGTTACATCAACACCTGTTCTCTTTGCTTTCTTTGTGAACTTCAGCAGTAAATTTATGCCTCTATAAAGGCATAATGTAATTATGGCTTGAACTATATGTAGTTATCTGTGTAATCACCTTATTCCCACATAAGACTTGAAAGACATGTATATCATTCATTTATGCAACATTTATAGATTCAACGGTAGTGCTATACGTGCTAAATGACAAGGAATTATTTAATCTGTTGAACTAATATTTTTAACCATTCAACTCAACAAATACTGAGTTAATTCTATATATGATGAATTGCATTTGCTACTGAGGACTAAAATGTGAGTTTCATTCTAATTGTGACATCTTATTATTTTGCAGTATTCCAGGGTGTACAGGGAAGGCAGATGTACTACTGTATTTTTAACACCTAGGGTCTAAGAGCTATACAGATGTCTTCTTTGTTCAGAATAGGAAACTAACAATAGAAAAGCTCCTCTACTGCAGGGACACCGAAGCTGGAATAGTGATTAATATCCTAATTCCTAACTACAATCTAGCATTCTGCCTCTAACAGACATCCTTAAATTTGAAAGCAGCTATTAGTAAATGGAAATATACAGGCCATCAAGAAAAGTTTTTTAAAGACAGCCAATTTCCTTACTGTAAGATATTGCAAATAACTATTTGATATTAGACTATATTCCATCTCAGAATATAACAAAAGATGCATTGTTCTTAATCACAATGAGGAAGCATATTAATATTATAGTACACAGAATTACCATAGTGTTTTGAATATTCACTGAAAAGGCAAAAGGTTAAGTTTATGAATACCAGGCAAGAGGCAGCAATTCCATCTCTAAAATACACTGAGCAAAAATTAAATACAGTAGTGTAACTTAAACGTACCTTCATTTTAGACAGGAATCTGTCCAGTAAATTCACAGCTAGAGAAAACGTCTCCGTATCAAAGCCAAAGAACTGAGTTAGACTAAGAAGATCTTTTACTTCAAAGTCCCTTAGTCTTGCAGTCATTCTGAGGCCATTATCATGTGCAGATTCAATTAGTCTCAAGCCGCAGACCTTTGGCTGACATCTGGCCTCCTGTTCCAACAGGGTATTTAGCTGGTGTAGCAGTTTCTGAGAGTCAGTTGTTGTCAGTACTTCTATCATCTATATATAGAACAGATCCCAGAAAGGAGTGTAAGAGTAGCCCATCCCACTCTCCTTAGCCTTCTCGGTTTTGTACCACGAAGGGCTTTTAGAAATACCTGTCTCCTCTCCCTCAGTGGGGAGAATGAACTTAATTTAATGTAAAATGCTATGACTTTTCCCCCCTTCTACATTTGGTCACATCTTAAATTGTGAGTTCCTAGAAGATAGCAACCATACCTTTAAAAAAATTACAAAACTTAAAGAAATAGTTATTCACTGTCAACCGATAACCACTAACACACACTGTAAAACAGGATAGAAAACTGAAATCAGGTGGTAGTATGCATTGTCATATATTAACTAAGTGAATGAGTTAATGAGTTCCTCATCTGTATAGTGGGAAAAAGCTCCTTAATGAGTTCCTCATCTGTAAAGTGGGAAAAAGCCTCGTTACCTATCTTGTTGCCTTGCATGGACTAAAGGAAATCACATAAAGAGCTTAGCACACAGGCAGGTGCTTAACAACCACTGGACAATACTGAGCTTACTTCTACATCTGTAAAGTCTGTCTCGTCGAATGGCTGGAAAGATTACCCAAGACGATTCACTTGGAGGCCAGCACAGTACTTAGCACACGGTACTCCATAATAGTTAAGTTTCATCACTGTTAGGAAAGGAAAATTACTGAGTGCCTGGGAGCACGTCGCGGGGCGGGCGCTAACCAGGTCTGCACGACGAATCTGAAAATCCCACTAATGTAAGTGTGCATACCACATCTAAGTCCTGCACACACCGAAGGTCCCCCTCGCAGCGATTTAGAGACAGGAAGGCCGGGGGTCTTAGGGCTGGCCAGGTGAGAAACCGCTAACTTCAGGGTCCTAAGTCTCGCTCCAGGGACGGGGGTGGGAGTCGCGAAGACACCGGAGGAGGGATCGGCTCCGCCCCCCAGGCTCCGACTAGCCCGGGCTTGTGCCCTCACGCGCAGGAACAGCGCGCGGGCAGACCCAGCCCCAACCACGCTCCCCGGCCGCACCAGGGCGACCCCCAATCCCAGCTCACCTCGGCAGAGACTGCGGCTCCTCCGCGTGGCCACCCTCCCCGGGCCTGCTCTCACCTCGCCCCACGATACCGGATTCGACAGGCCTAGGGGGCGAGGATTCTCGGGGGCAGGAGGGGAGAGGCCCGGGGAGGGAGAACTGTCCGGGGTGGAGGTCTCCGCAGCGCCTACGAGGATACGACGCCCTCCTGCCGCTGGGACCGAAGCGAAGGGGCTGCGCCTGACCTCTGGAGAAATACAGTACATTGGGGGGCGGGGCTTTCCCGCGAATAGGCATTCTCGCGGCTGATTGGTGTAGTTCTTTTGACTGATGGCCTCCACGCTCCAAAGAGGGCTGGTTCGCAGAGGCAAGAAGCTCAGCCAATCAACGCACACGTCCCATTTTCCGGAGCCCAATGCTCCGCCCCCTTCTGACCACGCCCTTACCGCAAAACGTCTCTTATTGGAGGATTGTCAAAGTATGTTCATTCCAATCCGGTGCAGAACTGAAAACAGCGGGCCAACCCTTGCCCTGGGCAGGTCGTTCTGACACCAGCCAGATTGCCAGGATTTCATTCCAGAATGTACTGGGAGTTTTTGTTCTGTGTAGTTTACTGGTTACTCAGTGGTTCTGGTTCCTTTTTTTGTCAAAAATACAATGACGAGTTTAAAAAAAAGTCAAGCTTTGATTTTTTATTGCACAGAGGGAGAGGTGGTAGGTTTTCTATGGTGTAGTTTATTAAATTCCAGTGAGTTCTCATTGTGAGATTTGGAGGCTGATTGATCCTTGTCTTGTTTGTGATTTTATTAAATACTGTAATGGAGTTGGACTATGTAATTTCTTGATCCTTTACCACTTTTGTGAATTTTTTTTTAAAACATATCTAAATTTAAAAGTTGGCATAGTGCTTTAAATGACGTCAAATCAAAGGTGTGTGGTAGACTGTTAAGAGCGGTACCATAGATACATAACGTACTGAAGTGGTTAATACCTCAGTCACATAGCTTCGTGACTTTTAGAAAACGGCTCAAATCAGGAAGGGACTTTGGTCCCACCTGAAAGGAAGTTGACAACTGAGATCACTTAAGGCGTAATTTTAATAAAAAATGCTTAGTGCCATTACGTGAATTTACAAATGTACCTATTTTTCCTTTTGGCTCTTAATTCCCATTATTCCTAATTACTAAAAAGTAGTTTAGGAACCATAAAATCTTTATGGCAAGAAAGAGCATGCACCAGTTAATATTAACATTAATTGAACTTATGTCCTAATGCAAGGCAAACCAGGCTGGTTCCTGACCTCTGAATGTGTATTCCTGACCTTTGAATGTGTATTTGAATGTGAATGGGTCACATAAACATTGTGTTACTCAGCTTTTTGTCTGTAATCAAATACCTGAGAAACTCACTTAAAGGAGGAAATGTTTCAAGTGGACCCTCAAGCTACAGCTGGCCTGACATACCAACAACTTGGGTTATGACCGGAATTTTACTTTTAATTTACGACCAAAGTCTTGAGTTATGACCCGAATGCCGGCTGCTTGTGCTTCTAGATGGTCTCAGATACAGATTCAACCCTTAAAGAGTTCTGGAAGGCACATTACAACATCCTTTTCTGTATGGGGTTAAGAAATCTGGGCCAGTGTGTCTCTAAGGACACAGATCTGTCTGTATATGGGAAAGAGACTTTGAAAGGTATGCAGAGGAGCCTGAGCCTTCCATTGACAGCTGGAGTTACAACCAGCCCTCGGGAACAAGGTGAGTTTGTACGTCAAGGGTCCACTTTTGTTTGGCCTCATGGTCAGCTGGCTCCATTTCGTCTAGCCTCAGTGAAGAAGAAACACGATGGCAGAGGCTGTGGTGAAGGAAAGCTACTCAGCTCCTGGCAGGCAGGAAGCAGAGAGGGTGGAAAAGCCAGAGAGAGGAAGGGACTGGTCAAGACACTGCATACCCTTCCATGCAGATCCTCAGTGACCTGCTTCTTCCAAGCAGGCCCACCTCCCAGTAGCCCATTCAGCTGATGATCTCACTGATGGATTAATTGCTTGATGAAGTCAGAACCCCCTGATCCAATCGCATCTCCCTTTGAACATCAGGTTCTCCATAAATGAGTCTTTGGGCAACAGTTCATATTTAAATCATAATAAACATATAGACTCTGGAATAAAATGAACTCATTTTCATTTCCAGAAATTATGGGACTTTTACCAAGTTGTTTAATCATAATGAATTTCTTTTCTCAAAAATAGGAAGTAAAAATATGTTACTCATAGAGGAACTGAGTGAATTGAATAATGGAAAGTCTAAAAAGAGATAACCACTATTCTCAGAACACATTAAATGACTTGATAAATGGTAGCCTATATTATTAACTTCCTAACATTTGTTTGTGTTGCCAGACTTAGTCCTCTATTGTCAGCCTAGAGGAATCAAAGTATTAGAATTATTTAGCATTAATTAAAATATCTAAATGGGATGTATGATTTCTACATCTTATATGTGAATTTTTTACTTGAGAGCTTTTACAATTTATGTAAAAAAAATTGTTTTGCTAGGTGTGGTGGTGCACATCTATAATTCCAGCACTTGAGAGGCTGAGGACGGAGGATGGCTGTGAGTTTGAGGCCAGACTGGGCTCCATAGTGAGTTCAAGGCCAACCCGAACTACATAGTGAGGCCCCGTCTCAAAAAAAATTTTTTTTTCTTTCAGATTAGGATTTTGTTTTATTAAAATGGCAAATTCCTTATGTGAAAAATTACTTCATTAGTCCTGAAGAAATATAAATATAAATCACTTCAAATGGAACATTCGTTGCCTTTTCTCCCTCCCTTTCCAGTGCTATTTTAATTCTATAATATTAGATACAGGCTACCATTTGAATAATTTAAAATGCCTAATTAGAAAAATGTGAAAATGAAACAATGACCTGCTCTTACAAAAAAAGAAAATGAGCCCTTCAATAAGTATGATTTAATTTTTTTTTTTTTTTTGAGATAGGATCTTGCTATGCAGTTCAGATTGGCTTTGAACCCACTACGGAGCCCAGGCTGGCTTCAGACTCACAGTGATCCTCCTGCCTCAGCCTCCCAAGTGCTGGGATTGCAAGCATGTGCCATTGCACCTGGCTATGATTTTATTTTTAAAGAACTATACGTTTAGTAGTGAGCTCCTAACAGGAATTTTTCAAATGATTAACTTGTATTTTCTAGGCTCAATAATATGGTAAACTCCTCTCTTCCTACTTTCTTCTCTATCACTAGGTAAGTGTGAAAATAAGCAATGCTCAGCTTAAGGACCCTGAGGCCGAGCAAGAATCCAGAGATGATATCATCATATTCTCTACAGTGTCACCTGTATAAGTGCTTTTGAACAACACTAGTTTTGTTTTGTTTTGTTTTGTTTTTTATCAAGCAGGTATAACAAGGGTGGTGTCAAATGCTGCCGGAATTCATAGGGAAATTCCTAGTTCGTTCTGTTTCCATCGTGGAGGTGGAAGAGCCTTTCCTTTTCTTCCAGCACAATGTACAAGCATGCCATCCTCTGTTCTGACTCCCTGACAAATGTCTAAAACAATTAGATGTAGCTTGTCCTACTGTGATGAAGAGTAAGGAAGTATGGATTAAGAGAAATAGAAGGCTTAGAGCAAGGCGTAGTGGCACACATCTGTAGCCCCAGCACTCGGGAGGCTGAGGCAGGAGGATCATTGAGAGTTCGAGCCCAGCCTGGACTACAAAGTGAGTTCAAGCCCAGCCTGAACTGAATAGTGAGACCCTGTCTCAAACAAAACAAAACAAAACAAAACAAAGTCTCATCTGAGTCCTGTTCCCTCATTCCAGTTCCTTTCTGGAACTGCTCACAGCCTCCACCACCTCTTTAGCTGTGCTATAGTAAAGATACTGTGCTTCTTGATTTGAAGATAAATTGTTTGTAGTGGCTTCTTTGGTTGTTTATTCAAATTTAGCTTACTTGTCTCTTTGCATTGTACTGAAATAAGGAACTTCATAGGTCAGGATCTTTGCTTCCAGACTGGCTGTAAACTGAACTGGTGCAGACATCTTTGCTTCAGGTCCACTTTGTTTATCTCTTTAGCCTTTTAACTCTTCTTCCCTCTTCTGATTTTGCCTTTGCATTTTTCTCTCCTCAACCTCAATCTCCTAATAATCAGCAATTCCTAAGCTGGTTGTTTTCTCACTGCTTCTTGTGTTGGTTGTGGGTCAAAGCCTCTCTGCAACTGTCAGCTTCTGCTGCTGGTAGCAGTGGGGAGCCCGCTTCCTCCACTGCAACAGCTGGTGGATGAGTGTGGAGGAAAACCATATAAGTTAGGGTAATGTGTGCTATATTACAGTTTGTCTCCAAACAAATAAAAAATATTTTCAGGGAAACAAGTGACTAGCTGTGAACTACAGGTTGTGCAGAGGTATGCACTGTAGGCCAGAGGAATGCACGAAGGCTTAAACTAAGAAGTGACTACAGGTAGGTGTCAAGGGAGGAAATTCTTGAAGAAGATATCCAAGAGGCTGTGATTTCTGATTTGAGTTTTGAAAGATTTAGCTAAGTGAAGAGGCCAGCACAAAAGGCATTCCAGACAAAAGCAACAATATGTACAAAGTCACAAAGGAAGGAGAGATTAAACTGATTTCTGCAAATGGAATATAGGGTATCCTGTCTAAAGTGAGAAGGGTGTTAGAAGAGGTGGTTTAGTAAGGAGACTGGATGGAGAAGCAGGTGTTCATACCAAGGGATCACATACACCATGTGCATCATTCTTAGAATTTTGGACTTTTTTCATGCAGATTTGGAGGAGCCAACCATAGGAATAGAAGTGAATGCCACCATGAGTATGTATTTAAAATGACCACTTGACAACCAGGTGAAGATGGAAGGGAAAGGGTAGGGAAGTTAGGCATTGCCTTCACACAGGAAACAGGTGAAGATTAGATGGTGGGGGTGAGAGTGAGGATGGTGAGGAAGAGATGGAGCCAGGGACCGTAGGAAGCAGAGTTGATGGACTGTTGTCACTGATCAGATTTAGGTCATCAGAAAGAAGGAGGACTAAGGGATAGTATCCAAGCTTCTGTTTTTTAAAAAAAGAACAAATGAGGTTCTTTTTATGTATGTATTACAATGCAGGAAAAAGACCGGCTTTGCCAGAGAATGACCCTAGCTCAAGATGCCAGAGGCACGTCAAGGCAGAGATGTTCGAAGAGCAGTGAGAGAAACATTTGGTGCCATAGGTAGGTTTGAGATTCAGAAGAACATAAGAGGG